GAAAAAAAGGAAAGAAAATAAAATAAATAGCTTTTGACATCCAGTGCCATAAAAGTACAATATTTTAAAACTTGGCATCATATAGAAGTTAGCTAATTATAGTGGCGCCATTCATGATGATATAATTAACTGAATGTCTGCATTTCTATTCTAAAGTCCTATTTTCAGAGGTTTATGATACAGCTTTAAAAATTTGCTCTGGCCAGAGACTTGGCATGCTAAATCTCACCCTGAAAACAACATTTTCCCTCCAAAACTGAAGATGAAAAACCTGCTGGGTTTTTGTGGTAGTTTTTTTTCTTTTTAGTTGTTGTTTGGTTTTGTTTTAAAGCTTATCAAAAGGTAATAAAATTAACCACACTGAAATAGTGCCCTTTATGTACTCAAAGACTTTGGGGTATTAAAACACAAATTTTGACCTATGTTGTGTGATTTAGTGACAAAAGCCCTGCCCACAGTTCATTTCTGGAAATGCTACTGTGCTGCACAAAGTCTAGGCCAAGGACATGTCCAAAAATTACACACTTCTAACAAGGACGTGCTGTTAGAACAACTCCTGCACTTAAAACATCCTTACATCTCCTCACTCCCCACTGACTCTTCTTTTATTCCTGAAAGCTGTATGGCTGCCAAAAAGCTGATCTTACAGGAATGGAATTGCGGTCCCTTTCTGGCATAGCTAGCAGTGACTCCTTCCTTCCCTGCAACATGCCAAAAAAACCATTTACCTGGAAGTGGGCAGGTCAAACACAAACACACAGTGCTCAGGGCTGTCTGCAGAACAGGGATGTTTTCAGGTGCAGTTACTGGGACAGTCCGTCCTGGGCTGATGAAATGCTCTGAAGTGGGGGTGGTCTCTGAATGACCATGGAGTGGACATTTGGTGACTCTTCCAATGTACACACTATCTCCCTGAGACAAACGCACTGAAACTGAGCTGTTACAGAACGAAAGTCTACAGAGATATAGAGAAATTTTGTGTTTAACCGGAGACGAATAACCAGAGAATTTACCATCATTAAAGGCAACATGACTCTGAGATTTGCAGTTATAGCTAAGGAATAAAATACTCTATACATCTGCTTCACAGTACTTATTCAAAACTACCATTTTTTAAAATCTACTTAAAATTTAAATTTGCTTTGTTTACTTATGCATACTTCTAACAAAATCCCTTAGGTAAAAAATTGGCCTCATCACTAAAATTCTAATTGCCAACAGTGTGCTGGAAACTTCCATGTGATCTAGAGAAAGTAGTTTCCTTCCCCTGTTTCCACTTTGCAATGTTCTGTTCTTACTAGTCTGCTGCTTCCGTTCAGCTTGAAGAAAATACTGTTTGTTCCTCTGTCTCAAAATTCCTTATGCAGATTTGTTTAGAGACAAAGTATTTGGAAATCAAAAGGAGAGTTTTAATTGCCTTATCAGCCAGACTGGTGGACTCTTTGTCCCAATGGTACACAAAAATGTAGCTCCTTCCTTTCTCTGTTGAGCTGGTTATTCTTCCCTCAGAGTTCCCTCTTTTGGGACATTGCTTTTAATCCAAAAGAATATGAAGAGACACTTTGTTTACTTTCCAACAAAACAGTGTAGCATAACTTTTCCCCATCTTGCTTTCCCCAATACACAACCCCACTTTTTTTAGACAGTTTCTGCAACCCTTGTCTGCACAAATATATTAAACAACTAAAAGCTTCCTTCACAGAAAATACCCTTCAAATAATTTCAAGATTAAAAATTATACTGGCACTGTCCAGGAGGCCAAATATAATTTTTGAAATGCCACATGTACATTCTGTACTAACTCCAGTGGTGGTGGTTCCTCTACTGTGTGTCTCTGCTCTCTATCTCAGGATACAAGGTTTTACAGAAAAAAAGTAAAGCCATCATTATGGCACAAAAATACAGAAAGCACAAGAAGTCTGGTAGTAACACCATGCATATTTCATCCTTGACTAGAAAAGCTAAGGAGTAAATAAAACAAAAAATAATTTGCATTATATCTTACTATTTATAGTAACTATAATATGACTGAGAGCACGTTCCTAAGAGCAAACCATGCTTAAACACTTAGAAAAGTCAGTGTGGCTAGAGCCCAGGTATCTGGTGACAGCATTCATGATGGAGTTGTTAGAATTCATAAACACACAAGTGCAGCCAAAGCTCTGACTACACTGAGGACTCTTGCCAAGGTAGAGAAGTTTTCCTTCCCTTGCTGGTAAGGTTATGGAGGTATATAAACTGTGTGCTTGTATGGGAACCACTGTGATTCCTCAGGATATCAAGGCACCCACAGCAGAGCTTTTCTCTCTCAGGCAAGAGAGGTTGCACATCCTCCCCAAGCCAGCCCCTGCAGTTCACATGCTGGGCACAGGCTGAAACACTGCCCACCACACTGGCACAGCACAGCTTCCTACAGGACAACACAGGCATCTCAGACGGCCCAGATAGCTAAAAAAGTTAAGGGATATGCGGCCCTATAAGGTCGTAGTTAAGTCCACACTGTAGATTTAACCTGTGGGTGCTCCAGGTGTGAAACCCTGAGCAGTCACAGGTATTCCCTGGGAGTGCTGTGCTGGAGGCAGACCTGCAGTGCTTCCAGCACCAGGAGAACCCAGTGCCAGGGGGATTTATCAAACACAAATGGCCAAAAGAACTTGAATGCAAACTCTCCTCACAGTCACCGCGGACAAAACCACCACCAACTGCTTCCCTGTCCGTGTATGCCAAGGGATCCATAAATGAGGGTGAAGAATTAGACTCTGTTCTTAATTAAGCAATGTATATTGAAGCAGGTCCTCTAAAGGGAATGTAGTTATACTGTAGTTATTTTGGTGTAAATGGAGTCAGAATCTGGCTATTTGCAATGCAGGACAGTAAAAGACTAAATTAAATCTTCAATAAGCACCAAGCCTCCTAGAATTATTTCAATGACTGTCTAACCTATGAATGACCCAGCCAAGTACAATTTTTCAGAAATTAATGCAAACACATAACAGGCAACAAAAAACAGCCAACCATAAAAATCTGTAGGGAAGATAACTCCTCCATTGTCTGAATTATTTCTTTTTCACTGTGATTTTATCTTCACTGCATGCTACTTTTATAAAAAACATTTTGTAAACCATGTATTATAAAATAGAAGAGATGAAAGGGTATTTATATGAATTGTATTTGCATTTCTGCATGAGTTTGATATGTAATTCTGAGCTTACCCAAACTACTGATAAATTGTATTTTAAATACAATTGGAGTTTAAACAGAGATGCCCAGGAACATTTTCACAATGTTTTTTCAGACAAAAATGCCACTACATTAAAAATTAAAAAGCCCAAAAATCTAATCTGGTCAAACAAAGAGGAAAAAACAGAAGAGAGGTAAGGAAATAAGAAGAACATATCTTCAAATGAGAAACTTTCCTTTTTCATTCAGATTTTCAAAAAGGGAGATTAAACTGACTTTATAACATTGAAAGTCTTCAAATGAAACTGGAATGTCTCAATAGATTCAGTCCAAATTTCTGGGAGATTTTACATTTGAACAATATTTAAATTAGCTTTTCATCTAGGAAAAGTATTAAATCTTGAAAACTCTACCGAGTTAGGGCAATCATAGTGTGCCCAGGAATTCTGCTAATCAGCTGCTCAGAACATCAATGTCACCTTGCATTGCAGCACCAGCAGTGGCCCATGCCTGAAGGGTTTTCTCAATACTTCAACAATAGCTGGAATGTTTGGGTAGTATTTCTATTTTAAAGAAAACAGCGTGGGTCTTGGGGTTTTTTTTAAAGCAAGATGATTTTTTTTCTCAAAATTTTTTACAAATCTAGACCCACCCTTTAATTTAAAATATTTTAATTGAAAATATCACTACGATGTAGTCCCAATCTAGAACTTTTATCCTTTTTCTATGCCTCAGAAACTTTAGTAATTGCTCTAGTTAAAAGAATATAATGAATAGAATTAACCTTAGCAAAGTGGTTTAGTTTTCTGGAGATTTTATTAAGTAACATTCAAAGCTACTAGAGACACAAAATCAATAAAATTAGATAATTTTAAATTTACATGTTTCTTTCTGAATGAGATTTTCACATAAAATATCAGAATTTGTATTTAAATGAATATCCAAGATACTTCCTGTGGAGACTTCAGAACGCAGAAGATTTTTCCATTCTGAGAAAATTCTTCTTTATTGAAAAGTCACTTATTTCCCACAGGATGTAAAAACGAGTCTAATTTTCCTTGAGCAAGGGTCTGTGGAAAGATGTTCGTCTCTGTGACCACTGGTGCTGCCCTGCCCCAGCACTTAAGATTCTTTGTGTCGGGAGCTGTCAGGGCGTCTCCCCAGGGAAGTCAATCATTTGGGGTTTCTTTCCTAAACCTTTATTTTCATATCCCATGGAAAGAAATAAGGAAATAACAAATTGTATCATTCTTTAAAATCCAGTGGCTTGGCTGCAGCGGGCATTACCTGAAGGCATTACCTTCTCACGCTTTAATTTAACAGCCATTCAATTTGATTTACATAATACTCAGTTAAAATGACAAGCAGAGCTTAGAGTCACTGCCTGCAGCCTCCAGCCGAGGCTGTCCCCGGTGCCTTTGCAGTCACACCCCCGGACAAGGGCAGCAGCTGCTCCAAAAGTGTCCCCTCTGCTGCCAAAGGGACACCCGGGGGCAGGGCTGGGCAGGGCTGGGCAGGGCTGAGCTGGGCTGGGCTGGGCTGGGCAGGGCTGGGCTGGGCAGGGCTGGGCTGGGCTGGGCTGAGCTGAGCTGAACTGGGCTGGGCTGAACTGAACTGGGCTGGGCTGGGCTGGGCTGAACTGGGCTGGGCTGGGCTGGGCTGGGCTGGGCTGGGCTGGGCTGGGCTGGGCTGGGCTGGGCTGGGCTGGGCTGAACTGAACTGGGCTGGGCTGGGCTGGGCTGGGCTGGGCTGGGCTGGGCTGGGCTGGGCTGGGCTGGGCAGGGCTGGGCTGTGCAGGGCTGGGCTGGGCTGAACTGAACTGAGCCGGGCTGGGCTCAGCCTGTGCCTCTCCTTAGGAAAGTCACTCTGATTGCTGTGCCCGGGTGTCACCAGGGCAGCAGCACCAGCAGACTCTGGAAGCCTTTGCGGGGTGTTGATGCCAAGGTGATTTTTTGCCTTTTCTTTTATCTACCTTTTATGTAGCCTCAATACCATTAGCACATGTGCTTGTAATTCCTGAAGTTTGATAATTTAACATAGTACTGGTATTTGTTAGGCCAGGAGACCAAACATAAAGGCCTCGTAGTAGAAGGCCAGAAAACCCTACCCTGCCTTGGGAAACCGAGGGCCTCTCTAGAACATATCCTGTAAATTGGAGGTTTGGCCCATCCGGGGGGATTTCCTCAGATGGGGGACTGTCACACCATTCATCCAGGCCTCCCACTGGGGACCCTTGTTAGATCTGCTGATTTGTGAGGTCTATAAATTGTACACACGATCTATCGGGGGTGTGCATGCGGCACATCCCACCTTGGCCATACAGGGCACCAGAAGGATCCTTATTAAAACACCAAGGTAAAAACCCCTTATCCCTTAACTGTGGCTGGCTCTGAATTTTTAAAAACCAGGAAAAGGCACCAGTGACATTGCAGAGGACTCAGGGCTGCTCGGGTGTGTGGGGACCTGGGGACCTGCCCTGCAGGGACCCTGCCAGTCCCCAACCAGACATGTGTGTGCCAGCAGGGCTGTCGTGCTCCCATGTACAGCCTGCTCTTCCTCTCTAGTGGCCATCTGCCATGGAAAGCAGTATTTGACACTAAAAAGATGTCATCTTGTCATCACGTCATCCCTGCAAAGCGGGTTCAGGCATCCAGCCTAGGCTCAGGTCACAGGGCCAAACATTAGGGGCATAAATTTGCTACTTACTCAGAGAAGAAAGGGGTGTGTGCAATTCAGAGCACCTAAATTTGAGGCCTGAAGCAGCACAATGCACCAAAGGAACAGTTTGCCTCCCTATGCCCTGCTCTTTTTCAACCTCTGCAGTGTTTAAACTGCAGAGCTGGCTATTTGCAAAAACAAATACTGGATTGAAAAGCTGACATTACATTATGGGCATCTAAGCTTATAATCGGTGTTAGATAGTTGCAGAGGTCTGGGCCAAAAATACACAGATTAGTTTTCTTTGCATCGTTACAAACACTTAAAGAATATTTTTTGCCACGACGTTTAATTTTATTTTCAACCACAATTATTAGGGTCTTACTCTAAAAAAACCATAGTGCACATAGGATGAGCTCCCAAATCAAAATTCAAGCAACTTAGAAATTAAAACTTATTAAAGAACCAGCATTTAGAGTATTGTTGAGGTTCTGTTCTTATTTCATACTACTTTAGCATTCTGGCTTGGCAAAAGGATCTAGTCAGTTCAGTAGAAATCAGTATAATGATCCCAATATTAACAAAACTGAACAACAGGGAATATGATTTAGAGGTAGTACCTGTCAATTTTGAAAGATCGTCTTTTGGCTTATGTGCACTCCTGCTGTGTGTACGTGAGAAAGAGCTTCTTTCATGTTTTTCCAGATCAGTTAGAAGTATCTCCCAATCCAGCTACAAGATAATGAGCCCAAGTCTGCTCTGACTGCTGTCTCACAGACAGGACAGGACATCTCTCTGTGCATCATGGACTTTCTGGAGAATCCTCAGCTCCCAGGGGATAAACAGAAAAGCAGTCAGAGCAAACAGCTTTACCTATAGGCCTACAGCTAAGGCTGTAGTATATTAATGGTTGCCACAGCAAATATGAAACTGATTATTTGCCATGAAATGGGAGGGCTGATTCTCCCCAGCTGTACACACTCCTGGCAGTGTAAAGAATCTGCTTCTTGCCTTTGCTCTCTGATCACACCAGGAAAATCTGCCTTAGCTTTCTCTTCACCCTCTTTTTCACATGACTGAGATTGTGTATATGATCAAGGCAAAAAGGTACAAAGAGATTTAACACCTGGCTGACCTTGGCCATACCGTCACACACCAATATGATTGCGTAAACAGGAGAGTACTGTGCTCACTTCATCAATAAACAAATCACTTCTAGCAGCTACCATCCCACCAATACTGCTGGCAGGTATATTTTTGTCCAGAGCAACTCTTATAAATATACTCCCAATGACACAACTTACTAAGCCAATAGAGTTTTATAATAATTGCTTTGATAATTGGCTCCTTTTAGTGGCTGTAATGGGAAATGTTCACTTCTTGGTACTATCCTTTTGGGGTTCTACAACAGGAATACAAGTTTTTGTAAAATTCTCCTCAGTTTTGCCATAGGATTTAGAATGTTTTAACTATGTCAAAATTGTTGCCATCTGTGTCAAAATTTAAAATTGCCTACAACATTTGTCACTTAGTAGTACCTCTAATGACTATGTTAGTCAGTATCTGACATTTGGTCCAATGTATATTGCACCACTGAGATTCTGCACAGATTGCAAGTTACAGACATCAGACAAATGCACACATCACACAGATCACACCAGTGACAAAACAGACATGGTTATGAAGTGTTTTAAATGTGTCTTACTTACCTATTTTAAAAAGTTTTCATCTACCAACTTTATTTCAGCCCTCCCCTCCAATCTGCTTAGATCCAGATCATCTATAGCTCTAAATCAGAAGTTTGAAAATGCAGAAATCACAGCAAAACCCAACCATGTCCTGCCTTGCTTATGAGGAATGAGTGTTCTCTACTTAAAGCCAACTTTCATTAGGCATACACTTCCGAGTTTGTCAGAGACAAGTAACGTTAAATAGTCAGACATTAGACTCTGGTTTGTTTATAAGTGTTCATAGTGGGTAGAGGAAGAAAAAGGAACAGTTTAATATAATTCTACCATTACTTATACAATGCAAAGCTAAAGAGGCTCAGGCGAAATCAGCAGAGATCTCCAGATACAATGCCATGGCTGACAACTGCATTTGGCTCAGTTGCTTGCACAGCTCAACAGTGGCTATCATCCTCATTCAGTCACACCAGCACAGCGAGCAGCACTTTGGAAAGAAGAGGATAACTCCTTAGTGGCACATCTGTTAGGTATAGATGGCATTCATCTGAGTAGCTTTGCCAATGGATGACATGCCAAGTCCTTTATGCTAAAAGGCTTGTGCTTGATGTTAATCATTCGCTCTCTGCCAGTTAACATGTTTATCCTTCTAGGAAATACTTTGATCTATACTGGCACTTGAAATATAGCAACCAATTTTACTAGACTGGAAATGAACAAACAAGATCTTGTGTGAATTGCCAAATGGCACAGCAAAATGCAGGATGCACGTTACAAAGGGTTGCTTAGCAACTAGAAAAGGCCATGCACTCCATTTCACTATTTTGGTTTGAAATAGAAAATAAATGGCCTTATAATTGTTTGAAATACACAGAGAACTAGAACATAATACTGCTCTGGAGAAATCTATTTGTGAGGAGTGTGTGTCACGGGAGACAGAGAGACTCTGAACTCAACATTCAATAGGTAAGTGAAGGAGAAACTGCATTTCAGATATTTTGCCTTAAAATGTAAATGTAATGGTAGTTTAAGTTCAGTGCATGTATTCTGCTATTCAACCAGGATTTAAAACAATTGTTTATTTTTACCTTTCATCTTCAAATGTTAAGAGGGTCAGGGTTTTTTTGCAAAGAACACTATTAGCTCATCCTCCATTTGCATGCAAGGAAGTGGAAGTTTAGAGCAGTTGGTACCATGCAAGTTGCCAAACTGTGACTACATCACAGGCATCCTGAATCTAAGCAGTCTTAAAAAAAACAAACCAACTTCTGCATAACATATCGTCCTTCCTCCCTCTTACACAGCTCCCCCCATGCCTGGCAGCTAAATAATTGCCTAGCTACTTCACACAGGAAAAAGAGAAGTCTCTAAAAACTCCAAGCCTCCCATACTTTGAAGCAGCTACTGTCTCTATTTTCCAATATGAGAAACTGAGGCAGAGTTTAAAGAGATTCTTGAAAATCACATGGGAAGGCTTTCAGCATTTGAGAGCAGAGTGTGGACACCTGACATTTATCTTAGTGGTACAGTCATCTCCTCTTCCACCAGTATTCTTTTCATACAGGGATCTAAAGCAGGTATGAGCTGCTGATATTCCTTGGCCATTAACATCCCCTTGCAAACAGCATCTCTGTGCCAGCTGCCAGCCCAGGCAGTCCTGGTGTTGAAGCCAGTCCCTGCTGCAGCTGCAGGAGCCTGCCTAACTCGCTGGGAGTAGAGCGGGAAGAGCTCTGGGGCTCAGACCTCTGTGGCAGCGTGGTTACAGCAGGGTGAGCTGAGCACAAAGGGGCAGCCACCGTCAGGAGGTGTCAGCTCCTTAATCTATGTAACGTGTAAGCTGCAGCCAACAGCCTTCTGCACAATACCCCGTGTGTCTGCTGAAAATGGCATTGCCCATAATTGCATTGTTTGCTTAGAGGGGACCCGGGATCCGGATCAAGTTCAACAAGATCTGTGTCATTCTAGTTAGTGCTGTTTTTCAAGCACACCCCTTCAGTGAACAGAAAGCCCTCTGAATCCATGACCAGACTTTCAGGGCCAGATAACTGACTGTTTCGGTTTCTTTCAAGTTGTATCGCAGTAGACACACACAGTATCCTGGATACTGGACAGATTTAAAAGTGGGAAGAAAAGGTTCCAGCACACTGGCTTTAAAAGAGAGAACAAAGTAAGTGAGGATCAGAGGGAGGAAGGTGATCGCTATGACACTAAGACAATTAATCACTGCCAGATGTTAAGGGTCACACAGCACTGCATGCTGGGAAGATCAGCAGGGGTTCTTGGACAGGGAATAGAGGGAAAAAATAACCTGTCATGTCAGTGAACTAGTCAGGGGTTTAGGGTTCCTGTCGTTTAACTATTAGTGTGCTCTTAATAAAATGACAATGCATTGAAGAAGGGGAGGAAGATAGGGCAGTTGGCAGAAAAGAGGGAGTGACAGCTTAATAATCCCTGTCTGTCAAAAGCACTAAAAATACCATCCCAAATTCAATGTTCTTACTTTTGTAATGAACGCGCCAGGGTTCCTGTTTGATTAATAGAACACTTGTTGACTGACAAGGACAAATGTGCACATGGTCTGAACACAGCCCTGTGCATAAATAATTTAAATTGCATTATGGCCAGAGCTCAGCTTGCACTGGGGGTTCTGTGATAAACCCCTATGTTTCAGCAGTTCATAACTTGGCCCTAAAAGAAAAGCTCAGGCATCTTGAGCCTAAAGTTGGACTAAGAAGGCTGGTTGGTTTCTTTGAAGTATGAAAAAGAAACCAGTACCCTGTGGAAATCACAGACCTTTGTTTGTGTAGTGATGGTGGTGCCTCTGTTGGCTCCAGTTGTGTATCTCTCATATTACAGCAAAAAGAAGATGGCTTTATATCTTCTTTTCTTTACAATGATGCAAACAAATCTGTGTTCATGCTAAATCCCACTTATCCCCATTAACAGCAATGCTAATGACAGTAGTATATACTCACCACAAAAATGGAGAAATGATTGTTTGAAACTTTGAGAATAATTTTCAAAGAGAAGAGTTTAGACCATTTTGTAAATGGATAATTAGTTGCAAATATTTCCTGCATTCCTTTGGGAGATGCATTTTTCTTAGTTAAGCTGTTATCTGACAATACCCTTTTCCATAAAAAATTCAGCTTTTACCTCAAAAAGGAACATTTTCTACCAAAATTGGCACATCTTTCTGTTCTTAAAACAATGTTTAAGAGCTTATGTATTTATGGTATAATTATTTCTCACACCTAGGGCCCACACACAAACCTAATGGAAGGAACAGACAATTAGGACACTTGTAGATGTACTGAGTATCTCAGGTAAGACCTAACTTCAACATTTTTATCAATTCTGTACAGGTATGACTGAATTCCCATATATCATATCAGTCAGAATTAATTTTTTCAGCATTTTACTCACTTGATGTGAACATGCAAATATTTGGCTGTTTTGTCTTTTTTTTCCCTGTCAAATCAGAATCATTCTTTAAATCATTATTCAGGCAGTAAAACAGCTATGCTTATTTAAACAGTTCATCACAATATGATCGGAATGGAATAACCAAAATGAATATATTATCAGATTAAAAACTACAACAGAAATTCCCCAAAAAGTACATATACTTGGTCCATACTTTCTTTTCAATTTGTTGAGTCTTGTAATCAATCAGATTATTTTGGTGGCATAAATTTGAACTGAGAAAAATGCTGCTGAGCACATTCAACTTACTTAGTTCCATAAAAGCTGAGACTTCTTTGTTACCCTTGAGGAGGCTTTAGCTTTGCAGAATCAGCCTCTCAAGGCTTAAGAAAACAAACATTCGTTTGTTGAATTTTTCTGAGTATTTTTTCCAGATATTGTTTGGGGTTTTTTTTCAATTTATAATGTGAATTATATAAATAGCAAATTTATATGCATTAAATTCTACAAACATATAGAACTGCTTATTTGTCCTTTTCCATATTAGATAATATTAAGAACTACGTAGGTTTTCCTCAAAATGAAACCATTTTTGACTTAGTAAGTCTCCTTCAATCGTTGTTTATTAATTTCCTTGGCATACTAGTTGGAGTTTTAAATTTTTCTTACAAATCTCCATAGATTAGGCAAGGCTTTGTAGCAACCACTATGTTGCAGTCAAATTCTGTAAGGAAAAGGAGTGCAGAGTAGCAACTTTTGCAATTTGTTGAAATGACACAGTCGAGACTTATCATTCCTTTTCCTAGAATTGCCAGTAAGGTACTTCAGGCAAAATTTGGCTTGTGCTTCAGTTGCCTCCTTTGTTATACTGTACTGAGCCTTCCCTAGCCTTGTTAACCAGATGTTCATTCCAGTATTAATGGACATCACAGTGCTGCACTATTATGGAATGTTTCAGGAGAAATGAGAGTCAACAGAGAACTTGTGTAACCAGCAGCTCCCAACATGTGACCCCAGCAAGCACATCCTTCCTTAAAAACTGCAAAGCTGCACTCTGCAGAAGGCAAACCTGGTTTTACACATTGCTGCCCATCTGCCCAGCAATGCTACCTCACTGAGCAACCTCCTCTGAAGTCAATGGAGGGGTTTGAGTGATGCCACACATTAAGAGTTAACTTATAACAGTACTTCAGAGCATTAATGTCTCCTTTGTATCAACTTTGATAGATCACAGCAGACAGACAAACCTAATAGCTCTGCTGCACAGAACACAAAAACAAGCCCAGGAACTTGCTGCTGAAGCTCTCCATCCCTGAGTTTAGTTTCCTCTTACCCTTTCTTGTTGCAGGTCACTGGGGTCAGAAAGACAAGAGATGGCTGCTGCTACTTTGCAAGGCTTCTGTTTGCTGGTGGCCCATGATGCCGTGTCACTGCGAGGGTGCTTCAAGGTGCAATGAGGCTTGAGATGCTTTGAGAGATGAAGAAGCCACCTGAGGTACTGATGCACTGTCTGAATAAAAAGAAACAAGCAGAACTAGTTACACAACTACAAGGCACTTTCTTGTAGCATCTTTACCTTGTGGGACTGTTTTTCAAAAAGCTAAAAAATGTAAAAGTAAAACAAATGTATAAATCCCAGATAGCTTTTGGGTATTTAATTTACCTCAGGATTTTCCAGCTTATAATGAAAGAACAACTGAAGGTGACCAGACAGACAATACACCACATTGCTACAGCTGTATGCAACCCAATCCTGATGTTCCTTCAGCTTGGGCTGTATCAGCCACTTCATCATCCTGAGACATCTGGCAAATGACCAATACACTTTTATCTCATGTTTTTATGGATATAACAGCTTGAACAAGATTAAAAGTAAAATTTGCACCTTATAGAGATACATGTAATAGTCTGCATAATTGCACATGGGTTATGTTAGGAGGGCATTCTCATACATGAAACTTCCTTTGCTCCACAGCACTTTCACACTTGAGTTTGTTTCCTACTTTAGATTGTTCCCCTAAATGGCACACCATGATATACTGCTAAACATTCTGCTGGATCAGTCATGCAATTACACATGTTTGTTCCACATGTGCCTACCAAAAATATCCAGAGCCTCCATATAGCTTCCTTCTTTAAAGTAAATAGCAAGGAACAGACTGTTTTATTCCTCTCCAAAACTTTAGTCCCAGTAGACAAAAAAGAGTTATCATGCATGTGAAAAGCATGGACAAGAAAAAAAGCACAAAAGTTTTTTTGCTGTTTAGCTTTTGTCATTTAAGTTATCAAACAAAAAGACTGGCCAGCAGCCAACTTGAATTGTAGTTAAATATATTTCTATTACACTTATTCACTTTGGAAAATACAAAATAATTTATCATAACCAAAAAGCTCCTAGAATTTATTTTTAATTTAAAGCTTATATATTAACAATCTACAAAAAGCTACTTGTTCTGCTGTTGTAGGCAGAACAGGTTATCATTTTAATTTGTAACACTAAATAAGTCTATTTTTTCCTAAATGTGGGAAAAGTTTAAAAACTGATGTGAACAAAACATACCTCTTCTCTTCCAAAAGCAGTGATGAACATAATAATTTTTGTTTGAAAGAATACAAATAGGCAGATATAATTTGACCTACAGAATTATTAATTGTCAACTCCGCCCACTTATTTGCAGGCTATAGTCTCATAACAGTATCATAAGTTTGATTATTCAGCCAGCAAACACACAGGTGAACTGTTAATTTTAAGAACATTTCATTAACCCAGGGGGGTCTTGGACTGAATGAAATGTCTTCATTTTTCTTTGTGCATTGTGGTAGAATATGTGCCTAAATTATCAATTATATTTAACCTCCTGCCTAAACTAGAGTAATGTGGCTGACAGGAGGAGAGCTGACTTTTAAACCCAGCCAGAGAGAGTGTTTTCTGACAGAGTTTTAACTGAACAACACACATGCAGACAATTAGCCAGGTTTAGAGGCTGGCCCAAGCTAGAGAAGAGCTGGAAATATGTTCCTTGGTGTTTCTCATTAGGGAGTGACGGAGCGAGAGGATTCCATGGCGGGCTCAGGGCTGCCCTTTCATCTCAGAGCCCCGAGCACAACGTGCCCCAGATCCCCTGGCTGGGAGCTCCCTGGGCTGGGTGCAGGCCCAAGGGGAAGGTGATTTTCCCAGTCTGTGATTCTGGGGCAGGGAAGGTGGCAGCAGCTGGGTCTGGCAGGGGTGCCCAGGCTGGGGCAGGAGTGCAGCTCCCTCTGCACACAGAGGAGGTTCCAGCACTTGGGAATCTCCCCAGGCTGCTTGGGGAGATCTCTAAATTCCCTGACAAGAAATGTAGGCTTGCTCTCCTTACAAAAAAAAAAAAAAAATCCCTAAACCCCAACCCAATCTGACAACAGTGCTTTAATTCACTACAATTCTGTTCAATCTGCTCAAGTGCAGCTACATCTGCACCTCCCTGAGCATTGGAAGGGATTTGCATTTGAAGTACAGTTTACTTCAGCAGTTTGCATGGAATAATTAATAGCCTGCCATTTTTCCAAATGCTTTAACAAGAATTTAATGTGTGTTAGTCTGTGAGCATTCTCAAACATCTGTGTGACAGTCAGATAAAACCCAGACATATTTATAAGATGGTCCAAAAGGAAGCATTAAATGCATAAATACAGTGTGTTTACCATGACACGATATGTTGACTTCTTCATACTTTTCACATACTCTTGTGAATTTTGTTGTTAAGCCAGGATTTCTCAGTCAGGGAAACAAACCCAACTCCAACATCCACTTTCCCTGAAGTCTTTCTAAACCACAAACTAGTACAATTTATAGAGGAGAATATCTGCTATGACACATTTTCTCAAAGGGAATATTCACTGGAGAATCCATCAGTCTAATGACATCTTTGTTAACCTCTATGTTTTAAATATTTTGCTATCCCTACATCAATTTGCATGAATAAGTAGAGCCTGTATCAGGCAGTAGTAGACCACCATATGAGGTTTTGTACAGAGAAAGCACCTCAGATTTCATGCAAAAAGTATGCAAAGCTTTAATCTGTTTTATGTATATGCAAATTATCTCAGAAACAACTTTCTCCTTTTTACAGTAAACTTTGGCCTCTCAAAGATGCATTCTATAAGCACCTTTGCACATGATGCTGAAGCAGAAAAATAAGTGAGATTCTTACTTTCCTTTTGCTCCTGTTTAATCTGATGACCCTCCTGTACTTAGTGATCCCAGAGAAACCCCAAACTACCTTTTATTATTCTCCATGACCGTGTTTTATTTCGCAAATATTTCCTGCTCAGTTACACCTAATTGCCTTCTGTGTTGCCTCTTGGAGAAGGAATGACTATCAGCCTCTTCAGATTGCTCTTCCCAATGCTGCTACACGAATGATATAGTTACAACTCTCCCAGTACTTATTTTCTTACGGTTAAAACATCTGGAGCCAGTTACTTACATGAGAATCACAAAAGGAGGAAAGTTTCTAGCCATTGTGGTTTCTGAGAAAAGTCACTCAAACATACCCTACAAGCCCACAAACCAGAAAATAAAACTGTAATTTTATTTATTGAAAATATCATTAATTTTCAGTACTAGAGGTGACAATACCATTTGGCTGATCCTCTCATCTCAGTGTGACCCTCCTCCCTGACTCCTGGAATGGACACACAAGGGGGGTTTGGTCAGGGGAGGAGCATTTTCCTGTGCTAGGGAGGATGCTCAGAGCAAGGACACTGCTGACCAGCTTGTGGCCATGCTGGAGCAGGAAAGAGCAGTGCCACCCTGCCCATGAGCAAGTGTGACTTGCAGCCTGTATTTATTTCCCACTGCAATATACCAATTGTTCCTATTCTCCAAGGCACTTGCCCAAATGTTTGCATGTTCAATAATTAACAAATAAAAGAGTTGTATGTACAAAAGCAAAATTTAGGCTGCTGTGGAAGATTCACACGGTATTGGAATTTGCTCAGAGGTAAATTATGGTTTTTTACCACATGAAAAGTTCCAAGTAGTACACAACTACTTGTTTGTAAGTCAATTTTACATTTTAAAAGAGAAATAGATTTACAATTTGGAGTTAAAGATTTCTACAAAGATGTGTTAGGGAAGACTTTTAAGAGACTAGAAGCCTTTTTGGTTTATATGGAATATACTTGATAGAAGAGGACCTCTTGGAAAGCTTCAGAAACCTTTAATATGAAGCCCTTGTCTTGAAATCTTACTCACCTGAGTAAAATAACTGCCAACTGATCCTTTCAATCTGACAGGCTGTAACTTTCTAAGCCTGCCTTGGTCACAGAGGGCCAAGAAAAGCTGTCTTCCCCTCTTGTTCCTCTGTTTCTCAACTTTTTCATCTTTCTTGTGGATTTAGAGAGCTTCCCACTTCTAAACTCTCAAGCTTTCAAAGTGTGACACATGAGTTTAGCACACCTTGTTAACTCAATATTTCACAGAAAATACTTTCCTTTGGAAATATTCTAGGTCAGCCTTACTGCTACTATGAGAAGTAATTTTTCTAAGGTCTTGATACATATAAGTACCAAGTATCCTCAAATTGTGAGATCAGAATTAGACCCTTTATGGTTTCTCCCTGGAAGCTGATAAAAAAAAAAAAAACAGAGGAGCAATTTTGGTCCACTGCCATCAATGGGAATTGTGAAGAGTCACAAAGGAGAAAATATTCCTAAAACAGAGATGGAAATAGAGAAGGAAAAAATGAAAGGGCTTCCAGTCAAGCAGTGGATGTTGCTCCCTTGTGAACACACTCTGATGTTTTCTTCTTAACAATGAACAAAAGCTGTTTTCTCTGAGGAGGAGGACAGGAAAAGGCTCAAGCTAAAGCTGGGTCAGGACTGGTTAGCATGGAGCTTCTGTGTCATTGGCTAGAGTTAGTCCAGCTAAAAGTCTCTCTTGCCTGTCCCCAAGCCTTTTCTCTCCCTTTGAAGTCCATCTTGTCCCTCCAAAATGCTGCTGCAGCCTTCTCTAAATTTCCCTGTCCCAGTGAGTTCACTATCCAGTCCAGCTTTTATCCACACATCCCTATAACTCTGCTGCTTTTCCTTTCCAAACCTCCATCTGTAAACTGTCCCACCTAAAACTAGACCACTTAGGAAGAAATAAATGAAATTTTAATTTATAAACATTTTTTTCCAGCAGTAAATAAGAAAGCTTTATCTGAATGGATCTTGGTTCCTGCCACATTTGATGTCCTTGCTTTGAAGCACCTCTGCATTGCACAACTTTTCATATATTTTGAGATTTTTCTGGGGTGGGTTTAAAAAAATTTTTTTTTATCAACTTCTTCCTTTCAGACCTAGAGGTTGAAAAAAATTGAGGAAACACATAGCTTTTTCGACTTAAAGATGCAGAGATGTCAAAGCCCTGAACCAGGCTCACTGTTTAGGCCCAGTGCCTTCAGCCAAGAGAAGCAGCACGAGGCCATTATTGCCTCTGATCCAGCCTGGGGTGGGAGAGCAAAATTCCCCCTCAGGGCAGAGTCCTGGGCTGGGCATTCCCCCCCAGGG